TGTTATGCGAATCGCGTAGGCGTGTTTCCTTTACAATAGCTCGGTTCTTTTCCTAGTGATATAATTTAACGCCTATACATCTTGTCACGTAATTACATCCAACAATGTCAAATCTTAGTTTGTAACGATCGTTTGGCATACTGGTGTCGGAATTAAATAAAAAATTATTCCGAGTAAACATAAGAACGCTTGTTCAAACAAAAAAGAGATGACAATACAACAGATCTTCGTGATTCCGTTATGATTAGCAGATTTAGAACATTGATCTGATGATCCAGGATGTAGAAGATGAGAACAAATTAATATTCGTACTTATTTAATACGCTCTAAAGACTATAATGGCCTGTCAAACAGTGGTCCACCATTCCATCAGTCAACAAAGCCAACTTTGTTTAAACCTACCTTGCGATACAACAGATGCCCTCGGTAAGATAAATGAATTAGTGTTGCGGATAAAAAATTAACAGCAATGTTATTTGTTAATACAGACGAGGCATTGTTTTATGTCTCATAATTAGATTTCAATTTTAAGAATCATTCCCGCCGTTCAATAATACGAGTATTGGATTTATTTTATCGATAAAAAAAATCTATTTTTAATACAATAAAATTAATCTCTAAAACTAAATTCTTTCTTAGAGTTATAAGATATTCGCTTAAACTAAACCATCATTGAGTAATGGTTGAGAGATAAAACTATAGACTTATATGGTATGTGGCCAAGGTTGTGTAATACATCTCTTAGTTATAGCGACCGGGTAAAGGGAGATAATAGGACAGAGCTAACAGCGGCTGTGGCTGCGCGTGCGCAGTCTACTGTGACAGGCACTCGACCGCACATCCGCACTGCCTTCCTAGATCTATACCATAAAATGTGTAAGAAAAACTTTCAAATCACATGAAAGCTTTATTAAATATATGTATTCGTAAAAATTTTACCGTTCAAAACATCTCAGAACATACTGTTTTTCTTATGTAACGAACTATGAGTCAAAAATATGGGGTGAGATTTAGAGTTAGATTACGGGTAGGGTTGCAAAATCACGCTCACATAAATGAATTTTACGCCCTTCATATTAAAACGCCAGCTGCTTATAGGGTTTGGATTTAAGTAATATTATTCTAACGAAGAACCAGCTTAATTATTCTCGATACTCATAAATGTCGGCATAACTTTTTATATCGAAAATAAGATCGTATATCAACAAATATAATTATATAATAAATGATATATCAAAAGACTTTTGAATAATCTAGTTTATATAACTATTATTATTGCATATTTTATTTTAAACATATGAAGTCATAAGCTATCTTCTATATACGAGCTGAGGTCGGGGACCTTTTTGATTAAGGAATCATCAATCATGACTCGCGTTCACTGAGAGGATATCGCATTTCATTGAAATGATATATCAATATATATAATATCACATATAATTTAGTGTTGGCGAACACGAAGTGATTTCATACTAATGGTATACTTACAACTAATGAGAAAACTTAATTGAAAAAATAATAAGTATAAATTGTAAATATTATTCAAAATAGCCAAGGTCATATGTCGAATAAGTCATCCAATATTATTAGTAATTCATTATAGCAAAATATAAATATTAATTTTTAATATACAATCCTTTGAATAATGCAGCGAAATATATTAGAAATATAATAGGAAATAAATTTTGATTTAACTAATGTTTTTCGACCCTGGAACTATAAGCTAGTCGCACCAATTATTTCCTGGTCAAAAGTATGCAAATAACAAAAGCAACGCGCTAGGTACGTGATGGTTCGATTTGCCACTATTTATATTACGACGTGTCAAAAAACCGGAGTGACCTTGACGCCCCCACGCGGTCGCTGTTACATTCACCTCAGGTGGGGCCTCTGGGGTATAAAAATGTGCCCTACAGGTATTTCCACATGGTATATTTTATGATAGCAAAAACCATGCTTTTCAACCCGAAAACTAATGGTCATGAAACAGTTTTCAGGTATCCGATATGAGTTGATTTGAAATTGATACAATTTACACACATCGAAACAAAATGGATTCGAAAAATAATACGAAGCGGAATTTTATTATGATAAAAAGATAACACAGATCATTAGCAAATTTTTTTAATTAATTGATATAGCAAAATAGTTGGTTAAGTTTCATTTCGTTACAGACAATATTTTTTTAATCTAGCGGAACGATTCAAAATGGAGGAAATTAAATAGGAGCTTGATAACTTTTTCCCATAATTGCAATAAGTATCTGCCCGCATGTTTGTGTTGCTACACGAATTATCTCTGATAGTTTTAATTCCCCACGACTTAGACGTTTTATTGATGTATTTAGTTGACAGGTGATGCGGGTATATTTATTAAATGGCATTAATCAATAATGTGCTCTCAGAAAGATAGTTTTAAAAATTTCGGTCGCAATCTTGCTTTTTATAAAAAACATGGCGGTTTTGGCGGTTAGCGATCAAAACACAATGGCTGAAAAGATTGACAGATGGGTGACATCTCTGTTCTGCCCACGTCAACTCAAACTAAGCAACTTGGCTATGTTTAAAACAAAAAACGAACGGTTTCTTGGCTCCAATATATTATATAACATATTTCTGTATATAAAAATCTTACTTTAATTTCCAATGTAACATTTAGAGGTTAAAACCTCAGTTCGCATGTCAACAGTTGCATGACAAAATATTAAATCAGTTTACGATTATTTTATACAAAATAATAATGTTATTTCATAACAATCTTAACTCATTATCTTTCATCGAATAAATAAATAGCGCTGAGGTAAAGAAATAATTGATTTTCGTTATCCAGAACGCTGACGTTGGAATCGCAAGATTGTATTAAATTATTCATTAAAGTTAAAATAGCGATTAACTTTATACAATAGCCAGTACATAATTAAGTCGATATGAAAGGCGTTCGAACACGACATCCAAGTAAACGTAGCGAGATAGAAAGCATAAAAAAACAAGCAAATTACTTTGGTAATGAATGTGTGAAATGTGGACGCATCGCTTGGACGAGCCACGAGGAAAGTGACTGAGAATTATTGACATATTAAAACTAATCTCATAATAATTACTATACTATGTATGAAATATATGACACCGTATTAACATAGGAACAAATGAACTAAGCAGTTTTGAGTAATCGAGAGGACTTCACTAGAATGAATCGAAATGGATGTAAATTACCTTTTTTTCTAGAAGTTTTTTCGTATCCACACAATAATCGAAAGGTTTTATTTTTGAACAAAATTAATACTAACATTTATATAGCTATAATTTTAAGTTTTCTACAAGATTTATTTCGGGTAGAATAATTGAAAAAGATATCTTTCTTGCTTTTTCTCGTTTAAAGTCAAAAATTGTAGCAAAGCATTTCGTGAAAGCTGTACCGAGTCCTGTTTTGGTTATCGCATAATAAGGATATATAATTGGCAACATATCACGATCTCGTGTACTTGCCAGCGCGATTTACCATCAGAAGTGGCCTCTAAACCGGTCGAACCGGCGCGCCAGCCTCTTCGGCGAAACTCATGCATCCAGCTCACTCTTAAAATGTATGTATTACTTTACTGGCATATTAAAATCATCTCAAATGGAAACCGTTCCCACCAATCAGAAATGACCGCAACAATCGCCGACATCTTAAATTCCAATTTACTAAACACATTTCAAAAGCAAATGAATTTTATTAAATCCCAAGAAAAAAATCCATTAAAACACACAATAGACCAATTTTCGTGAATTGCCAGCTCTAATACAACCGACGCTAACGAATCAGAAGACTCAGATTTTTTTCTTACGAAATAAAAATTGTTTAATGTTACTAAATATAGATCGCATCAATTGAGTTGGTGTTATTGGGGGGTGCGTGAGGGCCCTCCGATGCCGGCACGCCTCACAATTTCTCCCTTCTAGATTGATGATACTAACTATTGCAGTGAGATTTACATTATCACGAATACCCACGTTATGTATACATGTAATATGTATAGCATGACAGTATCAATATTACAGTAAAAGTATTTCAACAAAACTGGACTCAAATCACTGTGACTGATCTTGAAATCTTAATTGATACTTGTATACAAATGTCCTATTATTGTATCTAAGCCTTTAGCTTTCAAATTAGTTTATGGTAGTAAAAAAGTAAAAATAACATAGAATTCTAATAAGCTAATGTAATAATTTTCTTTACAATCCTAAACTAGTACTGTCACAATCTAAAATTAAGTATAGGTATCAATTATTACAAAATTTACATATTATTTGTGCCAGTATTAAGTATTTTGATTAAAGTATGTATTACGACTTTCCACACATTTATACATGTTAAATTTTCCAACGTTAACCTTGAATATTTTGCGATAAGAATTACTCATACAAAGTTTCCTTCAACACCTTACAAGTTATTTAGCGGTCTCTATACAAATAGGCGACACTGTTGATTTTGAAAAGATAAAACAGATAGCTTCGACACCTAAGACGAATAGGTACTACATATTATATTTAGATGTGACCTCGACAACTTGAGATCATTATTCATAGCCAAGTCAATCTTTTATTACTTAGAGGCATGTCTTAAATATGGCGTAATATCACACTTGCGAAATTGTATAAACACTCAATAATGTATGCTATTAGTTGCGAGCATTATTGGAATGAAAACGAAATATTCGATAATATTGCAAAATGATGGAATGTAAACAAAACATTAGGATTGTCAGTGGTTCGGAGAACGGAGACATTGGCCCGTGGCGCCCGGTCAAGGTATCCGGGCCAAAGGTCGATGACAGCGCATTGCCTCTCAGCATATGCCCGAATGAGGCATTGCCGCCAAAATCACGGCCAGTTATAATTATTTGACACATTATTTAACTTCACAAACTATCGTGCAACTAATAGGCTATCGAATAATTACGGACTTTCGTCTTTATGTACCTTTATATTATATAAGAGTGAACTTGAAATCCTGACCTGATGATATGGATTCATTTTCCGATTTGGGCGTCGTGGGCGGCATCGGCAGCGGCATGGAAGGTAAGGGTTGCGTGGGTGGCTGCTGCTGTTGCAGCGTGCATGTGTTCCCGAGCAACGACTGTGCTGTGTTGTATGTTATTCCGTCGTCGTAACCCCATAGCTCGAGCCCGCCATACTCTGGCGAGGCGAGCGACTCCGGAGACATAACCATAGCAGGAGGTAATCCAAGAGCCGACGAAGATGTAACCTCTGAGGAGCTCTCTTCGAGCATTCGCAGCGGAAACCCTCCGTTGTTAGACCAGCGTCGTCTCATGTCGAAGAGCGCGTCACACGCCCCCGTATTCACGACTGCCGACTGACATCCTCCGCTTCTCCAACACTTCACTTTTGCTTCGCACTATAACTATCTAACGCTATTATACTAACATCCACTAGCCGGCGTTGATTCCGAAACGAATTGGTTCTCACCGTCCGCCGGCTTTCGATTAACTCTAACAAGATTCCGAGTCGTTTCTGTCGCTATTGAATAGTCACAACACTAGAAAAAGTATGCGAAAAAAAAATTAAACTTTGATCTTTAGATAAGTTCGAGGGAAGTTGCCGCGAACGTTTATTAACAATGTGAGCACGTTGAATGCGCGCGACCGTCGTCAACGAAATACACGTAGAGCGAGCGAACAAGCGACGCGGCCGCTCTCACTACTCACTGCCACGGTCGAGCGTGACGTCACGCCGCGGCCCCCCCGGCACCCGGTCCCGCAGCGAGAGAAGTCCCCCCGCGCTCCCCTTCAGCCCCGCTCCCCGACACAACCGTGGCACAGAAAGTCAAGTCACCGCACGACAGCATGTAGCGCGGCGATAACACCATCACTTAAATTTCTAAAGTATTCCACCTTACCTCACGTTATCAAAGCAACACAGTTGTTACATAACATTTGAACTTGAACAATATATCAGCTTACTTTTTTTTTAATTTCTTTCGCATATCCATTTTCATTATATTATTTTAATTAATATTTCACTATCTTTCTTCGTTGAATAAAATTAACAAATCTAATTATGAATAATAAATGCATTAGCCAATTAAAATTTTGTCTTGTTTAAAGCGATATTCGCGGGATATGAAGTAAATTAAATATGTAACAGGTATATTTGTTAGCATTGGAATTAATCAATGCCCACAGATAAATTAAAGGTCGTTCACGAAAATTGGCACGTCGACCTAAATTGCACATAGGTAAAGTGGGTTATCTGTGTTAAGATGACATACTTTATTATCTGTTATCGCTGTGTAGTTGAGGAAGAATTTGGCTAATTATTTGGTTGCAAGTAATTCGGCTTTTCTGCAGTTTTCGTGTAGATTAGATTAGGTAATGACGTAGGTTTTCCCGTCATCAGATCACGCGTTCGCTCGGTACGTTGACCTGGTTGTTTTGGAAGTGCGCATCACAACTTGAAGTATTCGCCACAGTACCAGCTTCCGTGACATTATATTTATCAGCGTTTGTCGATCCACGAAATGAATAATTTATTAGTTTTAATTTTCCATACTATGTATAATATGTCATTATAATATGTTTGTTTTAAACATAGTGATTTATTTATTATCATTATGAAGATTTATCAAATTTTACGATAAAAACAACGTTTTTTAGTTCAAGTTATAAACGGGAGATTTATTCTGGATGTTTTTGTTGGTACTGCTTTCGAGTGAAAATTTTCGAGTTTGTGGAGTAAATATACAATTGTAAATTTTATAATGGTAAGTAGCACACTATTGTAGTATAAATTGTGATACAGATTATATCATGGGGCAGATACTTCGTTGTTGCCATATCGTTGGAATCGTGACATTGGTTAGTCGTGCGTGCATTTAAGTGCTCCAGTGTCGCTAGCGAAGTACCGCAAAACGTTTTTATCCAATATAGTGCAACAGATAAAATTTAAATTACATCGAGTACATAAAATAAAAAATACAAAAGAAATGAAACTATTTTTAGAGAAAATTAAAAAGAAATGATTAAGATTTTATGCTTGCCAGTACCAAAAAATAATGTCATAAAAATAATTAAATAGATACAATAATATTTTAGCACTATCTCAGCTGCATCAGGCAACACTGACAGTTTTATGGGCAACAGGATACATGAGAGATATCAGGGACGTTTAATGTATTCATCTTATTTTCCTCAAGATTTATATTCCACATTTAACTTACAATTAGATGTTTTGTGAATTACTTTATTAATTTCCATGCTATTGATAAGCGATTTGTGAACCTTGGATTGAAAAAAAAACTTGTTTCAATTCATTTATCAACAATCATCATTCAACAATGAGTGGTTGAAAAATAGTCACGGATACTGCCAAAAAAGTTGAGCAGGCCTATCATTTTATATAATAGATTCAAACTTCAAATATATACTTATTATTTAAAGTACTTAAATATGAATAGCAATATAAATTTGTAATTTTATTAAATCATGTATTGATATGAACAAATGTAGACGAACAAAAACCATTAGTTGTTAATGTTGGCTCTAAGCCATACGCTAAGTTTGTTGTGGCTTTCCGAAACGGCGCGCAATTATTCTTTTAAATAAATAAATGATTATGATGTCATCTTTGCTAATGATAGTATGATATATATTATACCTCAGGATGGAAGATGACCGGTCATTATGCTTACCTGTAAGAATAGAATGCTATTACAATAAAATATATCATTATCATCTTAAAGGATAACAATTCCTCAAACATTTGTAATACCGAGATATCTGATAGTTTTTTAGAATTCAACAATACACTTTTAGAGATCGCATGGTAAAAAGTTCTAAAGTTGGATTTATCAAGCTAAATTTTCAATGGGCTACAGCCTACAACAATTAAGCGTAACTTTCTTGGTAGAGCACACTGATAATAACTCAACGAGATCGTGTTGGTTCTCGGCTGGTTCGCGTTTCCTTGGAGTTGTCGCACCTTTTTAAGTCGGTCGGGTTGGCGGTTGTCGTGTTTTTACTAGTGATGCAGGCGTATAAAAAAGTGGTCGCGGCGGAATGGTCTGCTAAAGCGCAATTAAGACCAAGGTCTTCGGGTTATCAAACCCGTGTCGGCGACTCGTGATGCCTGCGGAGTGCCGCGCCTCGGTGCCAGAGCAAAAAATGTAGCGAATAATAAACACGATGGTATTAAAAGATAATAGCTGGCTCAACAAGCTGCATAGTCTTAAATGCCTGCATAGGGCTGGTCATTCGTCACGCTTAGCGGAGTAATAATAATGAGACTGCGCCCCCGGCGATGCCATTACATTACATCCTTTAATTGCCGGCTGATAAACGTTTTCTTTGACATTTAACATTTTGTTTGCCTTATTTATAAAGTTATCAACATAATGCATAAAGTATGTCGGGAATTCCGAAGCTAGATAGAACATGTATAATTACTGGCTAGCAGCCATTAGATACAGCTAGAGGAAGTCAAGGTACTGCATACGAAATGCCTAAATCCTGTTCATTGACTCCTATGCACTTCACAATCATGATGTCATATCATACCAACTATTGTGACCTGGTCGCGAATTTCGTACTGACTTTATTTTTAATCATATTATTAACTGTTCTATTTATTTTGTTTTTTTTTTCAATGACTTCTTTTAAGCCAACCTAATCTAAAATAGCCATTAAGGCAAACGATTAGTTTTTGCTGTAACTAGAATTTATTTATAGCGTTTACAGGATGTAGTTAAGTTGTTTTTATACGAAATAATTCATAGTAAATAGCACAGAGTTTTCTTAATTTATGTATTCCACCAAGCAAAGGTTAAAGTTCTTCGAACACAGAAATATAAAAAAATATATAAGTGAAAATTAACTACGGAATCCTAAAACTCATTTGTCAAATTATAAAATTACCCTTGCTTATTAAAAGTTTGAAATATTAATTTAGGCGAGAAAAAAAAGTCCTATTTTGCAACTTGGTTGCTTCTCAAAGGAAAATTTATCTTGATTAAAGTCAGAGAAATAATTGAGACCGTCAGTTTTTTATGGTCTTATTTACGAGTTTTCTCGCGGAAACAGGTTTATTTTTCCAAAACTTAATACGAGATGTCGATGTTTGTTTTACGTGTTTATTTTCATATGTTTATTGAGATTCCACGGGCATAAATATTGCGAAATTGTCAGGAAGTCAGATCGCAGGAGTTGTATTTCGAATAAATCTTCAGTAATGGTTTTCTAACGGAATGAATATTGTTGTTAGAAAAACAATGAAATATTTAGCATCGCTCATACACTTGATAAGGATTTCTATTCAAATAGTATTCGCTAGGCTCAAAATAGGTCAGGCTGAGTTGTAGCGACCGACGACGACCGTTGTGCGAGAAGCGTGATTCGACTGCAAATGTTCACAATTAGTCCTACAACCATACACGCTTGCTGTTATGCATGTAAAGGATAAATTCAATGGTAAATGCACAACTTCAGTTGCCATACCTACGATGTACGAGTTGCATAACGTATTGTCCTCATGCTAGGATTGATGACATAATGAAATACAATGAATTCATATATATTTTTAACAGTGTTGCAGACTGTACATCTTATATTAAATTATAAAGAAATGTACCAGCTATAAATATTCTACAAGATCTGGAGATGGTAACTAGATGAATATTTAGAATGTTTACGCTATTAAAATAATTTTAAAATAACATTTAAATTAGTTGTCTAGTAGGTGGATGGGAATATTTGTCATGATCACAGCGGAACAAGGTGTAAGCGAATATTTTTATATTTCTATTCTGTGGAACTAAGTTTTTTTCGTTGATATGGACCGTGTCGGCTGTCAGAGGAAACGTTGACTCCTTGGAATAAGATTTGCCAAAAGCTAAGTTTAAAAGTTTATTATAGGAACGGATTGACAACCTGCCATGCTGTATCCGCGTCTTTGCCAATTTTACAATTAAATAAAATAATAATAGTTTCTTGTAGCTCATACAAACCAAAATCGACATAAGTAAGCATGTGTGTTCATACTAGATCATAGTTTTTTTTAGATCTAATCCAGATGTTTCCCTATTGTAAAAATGAAGAATAAACATGACATCATGAATAATTACATTCAACGAGTAACTTTTAGGATACCGTGAAGCCTGGAGTGCTTTAAAAAGGGGTAAAAACTGCAAAAAATTATTCACCAAGTTAGTGTAATTGCATAGAGTCATAGACTATTAGTGAGTCGTCATGTCAGAGCAGGAATAACATTGGTATAGCATAAATTAAAGGTAATTATATCTAACAACAAGTCACGGTCATGGCCAATAAACGAGAATATGAGAAGGTTAACAAAATATTTCTAACCGAGCCCAAATAATTATAAAAGAGTATTAAAATAAAATATAATAAATAACAACTAAATAGCATTTTCATGAATATGGTAATTTTTTTATTGATTTCAAACGTTCACGCTAAGGTCGTGTAAAATATTGAATTCAATTCATGAATTAAAATGAAGTCATAGTGATGAGAACATAAGTGTTAATGAAGCTTAGCCTTCGAAATAATTAAAGGATTATTTTGTAAGCCTCAATAAGCGATTCAATTTATTTCCAGCTTAGTTTGAGGAATACACCTACATTATTGTGACAAATGTCTGGTGTAAATTCCGCACAAACGATTACGGAGGTTGCCAACAACGGTTTCTCTATGGACACCTACGAACATTTGTCCCACTTGATAGATATCACCAATGGTACCGAGTATAAGAATTTATTTTTTATACATCTAGCAAACATTATTAATAAAAAAATACTTATAATAGTTCTAAAAAAAGAATATGAAAAGTAGGCGAGGGTTTAAAATTGAA